CGAAAAAAAATTGAATATCTTCACTATGGCTCGAGCAAAAGAGTTGATTCTTTTATCAATGATAGAGGCATGTTCAAGCTTTATATTCATAACGACATGCCTAGAGAGATCCTTTGTTAAGTCTATTGTTTTTTTTCTTATCTGTGAAAAAGTAAAATATTTTTTGCTGAGGTCGTTGGTGGTACTTAACAAAGGCTCTTTCTAACCTTGTCTGTATGGATTTAAAGTATGAACATGCTTCTATTATTGGTAGAAAAATCAGTCTGTTTGCTCGAGCCATAGCAGAGAGATATGTAATTTTTTCTAACTCTAGTGACTTTCTGGACACCCTATAGAACAAGATAGCAACGTGATGCCATGACAACAGAACGGAATAAAAGAATAATCCTCTCTTACACGAAATTGAACCAGCATCTTCTATTTACTGGGCAGCTATATTACCACTATCATAGAAAGGATGTTCTCTATCCGTCTTATTACCGAAGGAAAACATCTCAGTTATAACATATCTATCTCTTTTTCTGAAATAATAACTTTTTTTACGATGAAAAACTAAGCATTTCTAAAATAACTGTCAAGTATGTTTTGAAAAGAAATTTTCTAATCAAGATAAATGCCTGTTAATTTCAATTCAATATCAAGTATAGATTGGTGAAGTTAAGGACAGTGTGTAACAGAAAATAAATGCAATTGTGTCTTAAGGCACTCTTTCAAAAAAGCCAGTTTTCATCAGAATCGTCAAAATTGAGATAAATGCATGGAGATATAGCCCGTCATTTGCTCTTTCATAAATCACAAAAAGTTTTCCTCGATACCTTCTTTTCCCAAAAATTTTTCAAGTTTTCCAAGACGTCCTATTCGAAAAAGCAGCGGTTTTTGAAAAAATCTAAAAATCTTTTTCGTTTTTTCTCATTTTTTACTATCTCAAACCCGCATCCCAAATTTTTCTGTCTAGGTCCATCCAATATATTTAAGTTTTTTTTCTGAAAGAGCATGTCAAGATGGAGAGCATGACGTGGCCTGATTTTTAAAATTAGGGTGTGGGTGTGGGTGTGGGTGGGTGTGGATATTTATTCTATTCACATACATCCACAGCCACAGCCACAGCCACATCCTTATATATTTAAAAGAAATCTTTCTGCATCGCATTTGCGATGACGACGCCATGAAGAACGATAAAAAATATTCACAAGTTTTCTTACAAAACAGCCGTTAGTACAAACTTTTTGAGATTGAAATATAGAACATGATGTGTTGATTTATATTAAAAGTTAAAAGTCATTTTTTTCACTGCATTTGTTTTAGTTTCTTATTAATCTTTACTTTACATGGTAGACTTCCAACTGAAAACTGTTTTACATGTTTTCCAATCAAGTTGTGCTATGATTTGGTTTTCTTTATAGGCTTGCGAGTCATCTATTATGGTAGATGATAAATATTCGGTTTATTTGTTACCGTCTATCGTGTTATTCGAAATTTCCAGATTGTGGGTGTGGGTGTGGATGGGGGTGTGAGTGTTATTCTTCTATTTAATCACACCCACACCCCTAACTTTTGCTGAGCCGTATCAAACGCAGTTAGATATGATATTTTAAAATACCTATGGACTATATTTCAGTTTTTAATTTAAAATAAATAAATGTTTTTTCATCTCGATTAGTTCTCATACAGCATACGAGTCTGTATTTATTAAAATAGATACATTTTCTTTTTCTTTTTCTTTAGATTGATTCTCAAAACAAGTACAATGGTAAGAACTAATTTCAACAAAAACAATTATCTATTTCTTTTTTATGAAAGAAGAACTTGATACAAAATCAATCTTCACTTCCAGAGACTCACTAATATTTACAAAGACAAGTGAAATGTTACTTGTTGATGTATCAATAATTTTGGCATTTTGTGGAACTCACGTATGTTTTCGAAGAAAATAGTGAGTGTAAGTTTTAAGTTCGAGATTTGCGACTTTCCCCCTCCCCCATTATAGACACATAGTAACGGGAAGGAGAACATTACAGACATACCCCCCATTACAGACCTCAGCAACCGCACATATAAGACTTTAGATTATATATAATATATCAATGCTTTTGTAAATACTCGAAAAAAAGCTATTTTCCAGTTTAAAAATCAGGGATGAGGATAACAAGTTTAAAAGATATATGTAAGTTCCACATTTTAACTCCTTTGGAGCTGCGCTAACAAGTTTTTTCATTATAGTCATAGTTATAAGATCATCTAAAATTTGTTTGCAAGTTCATGATTTTCGTTTTTAATGATAATTTCTAATCATATGCATACCATTATATTTAGAAGACGTTGAAATGACTTCTGCTGAACTTTCTGCTAAAATAATAGACAAATTATTTACAATTTTTATCAAGAATAAAAATAATATTAATTACTCAAATTTGTAGTCGTTGATGTTTTCTTTATCGTTGTCGTTTGACCTATATTAAAATGTATAACAATATCAAAATATATTCTTTATTTATTATATTTGCGATGAGAACGGTCTTCAAACATTCAAAATCTTAAAAATCCCTTTTCAAATCCTGAGAATAATTTCGATTTCCTAAGAAACTTATACAATTAAACATATGAAGATAAAAGAGGCATAATAGACGACCCAAAGCACTTTATATTCTCGTACACAATGAAAAACACGGTCTCTTCCATTTAGTGAGGTGAAAGTATGAGTATGGATTAGAGAAGATCCACAATTACACCTTCTACACATTTTTTCGCTTTGTGTTCTTATCATTATCTAGATTTGCAACTAGACCTAAGTAATGCCGACTTTTCATATTACAAATGAGATTTGAAAAGATGTCATTTTCACTTTGAGTGTTGTTTTCACCTATGATTTGACTATTACTAAGAAGTGATTTTTCTTAGCTTTTAGAAATTTTCAAGATCGATCTAATCATATCAGATAAGATATATTAAAAAGAAATTCGTAGTATCTTGAACAATAATTCTACTTTGTAAAGTATCCTGTTCACAATTTTGTTCGAATTACTTATCATTTTAGGAGCATCTTTCCTTTGTCTATCACACCAATGTATTCTCCATTGTAAAGCATAAACTGTATTAGTTGATAGAGATCAACATTATTTTTATAAGATTTGATCAAATAACTAGACTTGAGAATGTTTGGTACAGGCTTCATCAATCGACTTCGTATCTCGAGAGAACGAAAAGTGTACACCTTCAATTTTCTTTAGATTCGTTGCACTCAACATTTTTGTAAAAAGGTGGTAGCTATTGCTGCGTTATAACATGGTAACATCGATTATGAACAATTTATGGGGAAGATATAGTTAGTTTATTTGAATCTTTTGCTCTTCTCTCTATATTATTTGAACAATAAAATAGATTATTGAATGTTTAACTTTGTTTTAAGTCGCTTTATCTCGTTATGAAGAAAACTTACTATGGACATTTGCACGGAAAGAGATGCAGACGATAGTTAATATCGCGATGCTCACATTTGATATTTGAAACTATAATTCTAAATGTGATTAATGAAAAAAGATGATGAAATGTATTATACCATATCAACTAAGTCTTCATTAAAGATTAGTTATTCTTATTCGAATTCTCAATAGGTTAAAAGATTATCCTGATATTTTATGCAACCTTAACTTGTATTTCTCTTGACTATTTTTACGCAAATATTGTCATGTTTTAAATATTCAAATAATTTCAAATAGAACGAGTATTAAGTTATTTTTATTTATCTGCGAATATAAAAGTAATATGAGATTATTATGAAGATGTCAATAATTGGGACATGAGCATTTTGTTTTATTGTACTTAGTCACGTAATCAGTAATTTGATTTTTGTCTACGTAGTACAACAAAAAACCAGTCTTTTAAATTTATGGACCATAAAACGATGCAATATTTTTTCTTTGAGAAAATGGAAATGAATCACTGTCTTATACTATTTAATTGGTCATAATAAAAAAAAATAGGTACTCACTTCTTGAAGATGTAAGAGGAAGTAGAATTTGACGAAGATGATTCTAAATGTGTAAGTTTTCCTGACTATCGAAGGCGATCGATAAACATGCTTGATAGTTTGGTGTTGATGATGACTTCCATATATATATATCTTATTGAATTCACAGCAGTGATTAAGATATTTGTAACATTTCAAAGACTTTAGCAACAGCACAAATTTAAAATTAAAAGCTACTTATTTGTAATGATTTCAATTGTAATTAATACATCAATGTGAATAGCGAAGAAAATAATATGCTATCGATGCAGGTTTTGAAACTAGATATATCCTAAGAATACAACTTTGTCGAGAGAAAAAGCAGGAACAGATGGTATTTGTTAAACTTGTAATATGATTTCTATTTTATTAAACATAACTCAAATTCATTTTCAAGCTTGATAAATAAATAATTTTTTTTAACAAAAAATTTATGTCCAAAAATCTGCTCCAATCTTCACTAGGTATCATGAAGATGCTACTTAATGCGAATAATATTTTGATGTATAATGTGATGGGCTTTTTGACAAATACCAACTATTTCTCTTTTCTTGAATATTAAACATAATATAGCGATGTTGATACGTTCTGATGTAAGGTGGGGTGGGTGTGGGCGGGAATTTTGCTGTTCACCCACACTGACACTCACATCCACATCCACACCCTTATTTTCCCTCAATGATATACCGTTTCTCTTTTTCCGCTTGCACTTTTATTTGTTAGACTTCGATTGGATCAGTGATTCTTTTTTTTTTCGTCATTAATTTACCCGTCAGAAGAAATGGATAATTGATCGTCATCAAGAAAGTAGTCTACATATTTTGTTTATTATGAATCTCGATATCCACATACAAACATTATCGTACGACTTTGCTACTATTCATATTGAGCATGAAGATAAACGAAAGAATCAGATCTCTACAAGACAAGTGATATTTTTCTCGCCTTGATTAAGTGGTTACATTGTAGTGCTCGATTAAAAATGAGATTTTGTTTAAATTTCTGAATCAAACTTAATTTTAATGCCAACATATTTCGGCATGATAGTCGCTCCTTGTAGATGTCCGCCAGCATTCACTTCAGGACCACCATCAATGAATGTAACATATTGCATTAGTCGAGCTACAATAACTTTGAGTTCAAATCGTGCTAAATCTTGTCCAATACATTGTCGATGACCACTACCAAATGGAAGAAATACATAAGGATTATGATTCTTGTCTTCAACTAAAAATCTTTCTGGATAGAATAATTCCGGATCGATCGACCAATATCGTGGATCTCTTGACAGAATGCATATGGGAATAATTATTTGATCGCCTTTGTATAATTGAATACCACTGTTTGGTAAACAATCATCCATAGTTAATGTTCGAACTACTGAATCGATAGGTGGAGAAAAACGTAAGATTTCTTTGATAACACAATCCAAATAGATAAGTGAATCAAAATGATCTAATGTCAAATCATGATGACCATTTTCATTCATCAATTCTGCTTTGATTTTCTGTTGTACTCCCGAATTTTTACTGAGAAGATGAATCGCCCATGCCAAAGTTGTAGATGTTGTTTCGAAACCAGCAATAAGAAACATAAGCATTTCTCCTAATATTTCACGTCGTGTTAGGCCTGTCAATAAAAACACAAATATTGAAAGTCGTTAGTTCTAATATACACAATCAAAATTACGCGAAGTCATTATGATACTTTTTTGACGTATTGAATTTGATGAAAGTTTTTTTTTTTTTTTTTTTTTTTTTATAAACTTAACCGTCTGATGTACGTTCGAAAGAGTAGATAAAACTGCGTTTACCTTTTCTCTCCTCTTCACTTTTTCTTTCTTCTGCTTGTTCATCTATTTGTAATGAAGCAACTAATGAAGCAATTAATGATGTCTTCTTTCGTTGAGCTCTCGATTCTGGAGTTTCATTTAATTCTTGTTCCATCATTCGATACAAATGTTGTTTGATTGTCGTTCGAGCTCGTCGACATTTCGGACTTAATTTCAAATATGCATTGAGGAGTAAACTTGGCATATAAAAACCTAATTCCACTGTACCGATATGGTCTCTTAATGCTTGTGTAAGTTCATTATTATTTGTTCCACGAAGTGTATCGAAATCATAGTCAAAACTAATGAATCCGAAAATTTCCAGTAGAAGATTTTGACATTGTTGTAAAATATCACAATGAATGTGATCCGAAGAACTTGAACGCCAATTATTCAAAAGTTCATCAGTACAATTAATAATCAAATCGAAATTTGAACGAATTTTTCCATGACGAAATAGAGGCATTGTGATTGAAGCATGTCGCTTGAATTTTGCACCTTTAATTCATGAGAAATATTATATTTTTCGAATTAATTAGATAAATAGATCTAACCTTTCAGAGTAATGAGACCATCTGGTATAACAACACTCAATATTTCCACCATCCAATCACCTTGATCATAAATATGTCGATGAGAAAAAATATGCTGTAAATCATCTTTATCACCAACGACTATTCCATGTAAAAATCCAAGTTTAATCTCATAAATATCACCAAGTTGATCTTTGAATGATGTATAAACTTGTGGAAAAGCAACTCCACGTAATAGTCCTGATTGAAGTAAATTTCCAAATAAGAAATGTCCCGGTAAACTTGGAATTGAACGATGAGAAGTAAAATATTTATATTTTACATATAATACAAGTAGACAGAGAAAAACAAACGCTAATACGACAAACATAGCTGATGTGTAATAGAATATTATCATCGATGCATTTATAAGAAACAGTATTCATATACACACGTGCTTGTTTATTTTTTTTTCTTTCTCCTAGTATAATAATAGAATAGCATAACCTATGCTATCGACGTGTATGGGCGGTGGACTACTGTCGTATCATTCGGAGATCGAAGAAGAATTACTATTTGCTAATCTCGTCCTCCTATAACTCATCGGTTCTATAATGTAGAATGTACACCATGACTGTTGTTCGATAATTTTCATATTTTGTATAAAAAAATAACCTCATGACCAGAATTTTGTCAAAACAATACGTAACTGATTGAATGTTAGATAATACAGACATTGTCTCGATTAATCACTATAATATCTGAAAATAATAAATACACACAAACTTGATGCAAAGTCAGGTCACAATAGAATACAACGGAGAACAATTCTATACTCATCAGATTGGCAAAACAAATATCTTCATCTAACGTTGTAGAGATTATTCTGTGATTGTACAATTCTTGATATTGTGCACAATATGTATTATTTATTTTGTCAATAACTGATCGAAAGGACGTTTTGCAATTCATACTTCGCTACGAAGTATACTAGCAGAAATTAAAAAAATTGCAATCGTGAGAGAAATAAACTAGCAAAATTAGATTTAGATTACTTTTCCTACTATTGACTACGTGCAGTGAAAAATATTGATCCTTTGCATTTTCAAATGTCATATGCATTGTCAAAATTGGTTTTTAAATCATATATATGTTGGAATACAATAAGAGTATAACTGGAGAACGCAAACAGCTAGAGGCCTGTAGTTTTCACCAATCGAAAGAGGAGGAGTTAGGGTGTCTTTTTCTCTGATAATGTGTCAGATAAAATTCTTTTAAAACTGATCATCTCTGAAAAATATAGAAAAGAATACATGAAAGTGACATAAAATACACATGAAGTTTCGATTATGACCTTTGATTTAGATAGAGGGACTTCAGATTTATAGTTCAAAATATAATAGACTTTCTTACGTTTCATTACATTTTCATCGAAGTATCCAGCTGTTACCCACGGAAAAATTTTTCAACAAATACCGCTATTAATCGCGGTTTAAAGAGTCGCGTTTCTGACCGGTTAAAACGAACCGCGGGAATCAGACCGTTTATTAGGTTTACACACACCGTCTGAAATCGCGGTTTGAAGAAACCGCGGTTTTGAACGGTTTTTGAAAAAAAATGACATCTATCCTAGTTGTTAACTAGCTGGGATCGCGGTGCAGCTTCAGTCTCATTACGGTGATCTAATACCGCGGTCAATCTGTATAATACCACCGATCATATAAATTTTTTTGCTTCAAGTGCGATTCGAACTCCTTACCTTATAATCACAGTTCCATAATTCCATTGAACCATATGGCGATGTTCATAGAAGCATCAAATACAATACTCTTTCTGATTTAAATTAAAAAGTCTAGGATAATAGTGTTTAAACAACAAAGTAGAGGATTTCTTTAAAATCTTTAAATTTTCCTGTGCTATTGTTATATTTTTAAATAATTATTTGCATTAATTGCAACGAATTGTGTCTATTTATATTTCCTCATACATTAAATTAAGTTGAGTAATTTAAATTTAAAATAAATGTTTATTATAATAAATTTAGTTTTTTTTAAGTTAAATTATTTTAATTTTGTAATTTCTAAAATTAGAAATTAAACTATTCTATTTCAACATTACATTTATCTAAAACTATGTATTAGAATTTTTCTTCAACAAACAGGAGCTAATCTACCAAAGGATCGTACTTGGTATCAAAATGAGTTTGTTAAAGAAGAGCCAAAAGTGAGTTTCTGGTTAGCGAGATGCTTTAAATTCTTTTCTCATTTGAGACTTTGAAAAACTTTTCGCGAACTATTCGTTGTAGGTATGCCAGCTTTTATTTATAAGTAAATTAAATTAACAGTAATTTAAATTTGAAATAAATTTTACTTTTTTTTTCTTCATAGTTTAAAATTAAAAAATGAATTACTGTTAATTTAAATTTATTTTAAATTAACAGAAATGAAAACCCTAATCCGAATATCACGATTCGTCCCATCAGGTAATTGTAATTGCGTTTTAAAACTTTTTGTCGTAACAACAGTGCTTTATAGAGTCGAACTGTGATATTAATCAGAAAGTTTCTGTCTAATAAAAAGCAATATTTTATCGAACCGCGACTCCATCTATCAAAACCGCGGTAACAGATTATGAAAACAGGTGGCGTTGAAAAACCGAGGTTCGGAATGCGATTATTGTGGTTTGACTAATCGTGTCTTTCAAAGGTATTCAGAAATCGCGGTTTATAAGAAGGTTTTCGCAAAATATAAAACCGTGAAAACTGGCGATTTGAGATACCGCAATTCGTTTTGAACATACCGAGGTCTTCTGGAACCACGGTTTTCAGCGGTAGAAGCAACCGCGACCTTGTTTGAGCATACCGCGGTAAGTTGTGACCGCGGTGTAACTAACCGCGGTTAATTGTGGTCTTTTTTATCAAATCGCGGTTTATAAGGAAAAACCGACGGTCTTTACAAAAAATCGCGGTTGACAGCGGTATTGGTTAGAATTTTTTTCCGTGGGTTACCTTCGTATTGAAATGAAGGGTCTTGAATTTATACTTCCAAACTCAAATGTACTACTTGTTCGGCATTAATACATTCATCATATTCTTCAACGATGTATTTAATAAGATCTTAATCTTTTATCAATTTTAATCAGCATATATAAGAAAAAATGTATAATATTAATGATAAATGTCCATCATTTACCAAATAGATCTTCTTTCAATGATAATTTAGCATAAATATAATCAAAATAGAAAGTATCGTTTTATATAAAATATAGTTTTCAATATCATGATAAATTTTGAACTTTCTTTCATTTGAACAATTAATACTTCGGTAAGATATTGAAATAGATAAAGAAGCTTCTTCGAGCTTTCGTCGAACTTCCTCTCGATGAGGTAATTTAATTTTGATCCAATCAACATTTAACATACGTTGATTGAATTTCGTTTGAAAATGTTTTCTTTGCTAGACTCTGTTTGATTAGACAATAAGATGCAGCATTCAGTCTCAAATATGATTAATAGAATAAGACATTTCAAAGCTTCAACAACATTTATTGAAAATGGTAGAGAAGAATAACACATTTAAATAAGTAGTTAATATTATTGAACTAACACTGAAGGTGAATTATTGAATCAAATCAAATAGTTTCAAAATAATGATTATATACAAGATTATTCAATACAATGCCCATGGAAACAAACATGGGAAAGTAATAGACCACAGTTTTAATATTAGAATTAATTTCATGTTTCTGCAAGAAAATGACCCCTTTTTAAACATCTCATCTTTTGCTAAATTCTATGGTGAAAGAACGACATGTTATGTGAAAGATAGGCATGTGCTTATCTCTCAAAGTTTTATTCACGTTTACGAGTCAAGTTCGGAAAGTAATAACCTATTACGACTTGATAAACTAGACGAGAGGTTTCAGTTAGGGCTTTTGCCATTTTTTAAAAGGTGAAAATATGTTTTGTCATAGCCGAACTTATCAAGAACATTGATGCATTTATTGTTATTAGATTTTTATATTTGATGATAATGCTACATATAGGAATAAATTGAATAATTGACAACCCATATCGCAAATACCTGATCAATTTTACCGGTTACCGATCCATTCTACTAGTCGAGAAGAAGAATAACAACAGAAAGAAAAAAAATATGTCTAAATACATACGTTTGTCTTTCGCATAACTCATTTTTCTTCTTTCCTCGCTTAATGAAAAGAATCAAAATAACAAGGTTAAGTTGAGAAATTTTGCTTCAAACTAACTGTTAAATTTATTTTTTAATACTTATCTTTTTTTTGTTTAATTTTTAATATTTATCTTTTATATGGGTGATTTGCGCTACCATTGTACTGTTTGATGAAAAAATTGGAAAAAAATCAAAGTGAACATGAAGAGAACTTGAGTCGCACATTCGATAGAGCTCTATCAGTTGCATATATATTAAATGTTTTCCCAACTGTCAGTTCCTTCATTTCGGGAAAAACTGAGTTTTCTAAAAACGCTGAGTATTATAGGGTTTTTTCGCAGAATACGATATCTACAGTACTATTTAAATTGTTATCAGAATTAAAAGAGAGTAAGAGACAACTCTCGATCATTTTAAGTGTTAAGGCTTCTCAATATATGTGTGAAAATGATGAGTTATAATGTCGTAATATTGAAGAAATCTGTCGGGACATTTCGATGCACAAAAATCTGTCGGGACATTTTTTGAATAAAATATTGGTTTCTCATGAACGATGCTTGCTTATGAACTGATATTTCTATGGTAGACTGACTACTTAGTCAGCTTAAAAAGATACAAAAATAATCGATTAACTCCGTATAGTTACCCAGAAATGAAAGAAAAGAAATTAAAAATCTGTCGGGACATTTAATAGAACAATAGTCACTTGTTCGTTTTATTTTTTGTTTTTTATTTGATTTAGAAGTCCATTAGGGAAAATTTTTTTTATAGAAAGATTTCTCACTCTTTAGTCTACAAATGTAAACAAAGAAATACCCATTCGGTTTTCAATTGCCTATAGTAGATTGAATTTAATCTGTCGGGACATAAAATAGCCAAAGTGTATGTCAAAGTAATTATTGCAAGATTTCGGAGATAAATCGAAATCAAATTTATGATCCTTTGATATGGTTAGAAAGTAGAAAGTATCAGTTGCGAAACAGCTGCAAAAGATTATTTGTCTAATCAAGATTTTGGAATAAGCACATAATCTTTTTGATCAAACGGCGTTAGAAATCATAGACTTTAAATTTTCTTGTTCGATATTTGAAAGGAACGGAAGGGAAGAAAGGCTCGAAATTTTTACTGTAAGTATGACACTAGTCTATAGTTATGTAAAAAAAGAATCGTTGAAAGTCATTCAGTAGAAGAGGAGTTATAA